GATCATCAAATAGACATTCAAACTCACTGAAGAATTTACGATGGAGAAATGAACCTCATAGACAACAATTTCTATAAAAACCGTTATCTGTTGAAACTACAAAAAAAATAATAATAATAAAAGAAAAAGATTTAAAGGTGAAATCTAAAACCAAAACGGGCCATTTAAAGGAGATAGAACATAATGTTAAAGTTCCATTAATTCATCACACACTGGTGAAATTCATCTCCACATCCGACCCATCGCCATGGCACGGTGAGGTGCAGCGGTGGCCGCGCTCAGCAACTTTTTGGCGATTTAACCCCCCAATCCAGCCCCTTAAAGCCGAGTGTCACGCAGGGAGGCATTGGGTCCCATTGTTAAAGTCTTTGGTATGACCCGACCAGGATTGGAACCCTGATCTCCCAGTCCCAGGGTAGACACTCTACCACAAGGCCACCGAGAAGGTACATCCCAGTAGGTCTGATAAGAACTCAACTCACCGTGGTGTAAACATGTCAGAGTAAAACTTTTGGAAGCATTCAGCACTGACACTTCACTTCCACAGTGAAGCAAGGCAGAGGGATGATTATGGTATGGAACTACTGTCTGATCATGTAATGAAGGAAAACCTAATGTGGCCTGGGGGTCATTTGTGTCCTTGAAATAATTTTATGTAGCCCCTAATTCCATTTTCAAAGTGATTGTTTCTCTAACGAGTTTTTGTTGTAGAGTGATACTTTAACATTTTCATGTTCAGATTTTTACTAGTATGTCTAATTTGGAACTATATAAATGAGTATAGATGAAAAAAAATTTGTTATAACATCATTTGTGCATTTTTTTAAACAAAGAAAATAATTTTTTTGTGGCCCAGTTGGACTATTAACTTGACAATTTTGGTCCTAGTCTTGAAAAGTTTGCACGCCCCTGGCTCACCTGAGCCTGAGGCTCTGCTGAAGAATGTTTATGGCCAAATTGCTTTGATAGCAACCTTCATCTTCAATGTTGGGTCTGCGGTTTCATCTGAAAGATCATGTTGCCGTTTCATTGGCTAAGAGCAACATGACACTACCACTGCCTCTGTTTGCTCTGCAACGCCGACGTTTTATCTCCACATATAACAAAAGCCTGGAGGATTTTTGCTGTGTGGTGAAGTTGCTAATGCAACGGTTAGCTTCTGCTAGCAGAGACATTCTCTGCTGTTTCCTGGACCCATTGTGAGTCAAGGTGGGTGAGTCTATGAATGTTAAGTGACAGTTTGACGATGATCCGTCAGGATTTTAACCATCAATTTTTCATGTTCCTGCATGAAAACCTCAGAGTGACCGATTGTAATAAAAAATAATAATTTATCAGTTATTTCTTTGTAGGCTTTAATCATGTAGCCAGAATTTAAGTTAGATGGTTTTACAAGCAACAACAATGGTAAATGACCCGTATTTATATAGTCTTACAACCATTATCCCAGCAGTTTGCCACCCATTCATGCACAATTACCACAGTATTTAAAAATATTAAAAAACTCTGACTTTTTAAATTAGCTGTGGCAAAGTGTCAAATGTATTTTATCATAAATCTAGTTTATTAAACTTTTTCTAATTCGGTAAATGTATTTTGTTAATTGTTTGTGACGATTGTGTAAAGTCACATAATAGCATGTATGATTTATATATAAAGAATAAAGGAACTGTGGTATTTTTTTTATTACGTTTTTTGCCAACTGAGAATTAAAAGTTAAAATCGGCTATTTCATGAAGACAGAATCGTAACAATTAGAATACTTGACTAAAATGTTGCATTTAATGGAGATGTTCTTCTAAACGCATCTGCAACCAAAGTTCATTTAACTTAAATCACCGTCCCAATTTAAAACTCCAGGCTTCATTTATTTTATAACTATTTTGTAGAGTGCTGTGCATGTCCATCTATGTGTGTGTGTGTGTGTGCGTGCGTGCGTGTTCTTGGGGGAACTAGCATCCCGGGCCTGTCCCAGGACCCCAGAACCTCCTGGAGCACCGGGACCTGAGCAAACAACAAAACGGGCCCGTCAGCATGATTTATCGACCATTCAGCAGCTCACCGACATATGAAAGTTAGCCACAAACGTGAAAAATTCAGCAGCAAACGATTAAAGATGCGCTCCAGCAGATGTGTACACACACACACACACACACACACACACACACACACACACACACACACACACACACACACACACACACACACACACACACACACACACACACACACACACACACACACACACACAGGAGTTTAGGTGTGAAAGAGCTCACGGAGGAGAGGAATGTGCCTCTTTTGATACAAGAATGGTCCAAAAAAAAAAACAATAGAAGAAAGAAATAGAGGAAAAAGAAGTAAAAGAGCTGAATAACTCCTAAAGGAGTCAAGAGGAGGGGGAAGGATGGAGAAGGAGGAAGATGTTGGAGGAGAAGGAGTCGAGGAGGAGGAAGAGGGGCAGGAAGTAAACATCGATGCTGGATGAATGCAATTTTTCCTTTTCTTCTTCTCCCCATCTTTGCCCCTTCCTTCTCCTCCTCCGAGCGAGAGAACAAGAGGCACTGCATCATCCCGACAGGCGGAGAAAGAGAAAAGAAGGAGAGAGAAAGAGGGATTGTGACGGAGGGATAAAGGGCTATCCGTCTCTGTCTGTCACCTCATTCATCGTCCCCTGCTCCGTCCTGCCGGCCCATCCGTCATCTGCTGTCACACACAAAAACACACACACACTTTCCAGGACAACACACACATCAAAGACACTCAGGCAGACACACAAACGTCAGCTCGCTCTCCACCCTGATTCACACGTTCACAACGGCGATGCACAAACATTTGCGCCGACTTTCACAGCAACGACCACAAAACGGGGGCGGGGGGCTGTTCAGGGGGCCAAACGGCCTCACAGACTCCGGGGTCGGACTCTCCGGCCCGATTCACACATTCAGCGCCGATGACAGCAGAACCAGCCCTCCCAAAGATCGCCCGCTACAGCTCTTCATGCACGTATGCACCCGCTGGAAACGTCCAAAAACAACATTTAAATAAATAAATAAATAAGTGAAACACACACACACACACTTGCACAGGCACACACTCCGCTCAACATCCCAGATTCTCAGACTGGCGGTCCAATTCTTACTGGTTCTGCCCCAGTTTTTCTTTTTCCTCCTGAGGACACAAACGGGACAGGAACCGAACAGCTTCCAGCTCACTGCCGTTCCCCAGGGTCCAAGCTGACCCGGAGAAAACCCGACTTAGAGGTTCTGACCCGGCGGTGGGGTAAACTTTTCTTCCTCCCGAACACCCAAAACCTCCCAGCAACACAAACCAATTCAAATTATAACGAATTTATGACGATCTTGTTGATTTGTTTGGTGTGATCTGAAATCAGACTAAAGCAAACGAAAACGTTCCTTAAAAATATCTATCTGATTTGATTGTAAAATCAAAGCTGCATAAAGACTTAAAAACGGCTTTAATGAAAATCACGTAGAACATAAAGGAGCCAGAGCAGAAAAGTTCATCAACATTAAGAGTTTAGTTTCAGTACAAACATTTACGTTACAAGTTGTTGCAAATAGTGGAAAGTAGAAAACGTGGTTTTGGTCACAGAAACCAACTAAAGCACCAACAACGGAGAGATGCGCCTGTTTATTTCTACCATCACCATAAAGAGCTCTAAAATCTAAGTCCATCTTCACCGTTTCCATGGAAACTTCTGGTGATTCTGATCAAACACATGAAAAAACCGATCATTAGTAACAGCCAGCTCTGATAGAGGAACACTCAGAGTGTTTTAACTTTATTTCCATCAACTTCCTGTTTTAACCTTTTTACTCAGCAGTCTCTTTAAAGCAGCTGAAAACTAATGACTGAGTCGTTATTTACCTCCTCCAGAAAATTAAAGACATTTAAAGGTTCTTAAAAGTTTGCCTTTAATTTAATTTTATATTTTATATTGATTCTCCAGAATCTGTACATGTATTTACATGTTTGATAAGAACCTTGTAAACCTAAACATTTACACTGGTACTTTATTCCGACTATAATTTTATATAAAAATGACTAATTATACTAATAATAATTATTATTTTTAATGAAGTTATTTTGAAAAATCAGAAAATAATTATTTTGAAATAAAAAAAAACCAAACAAACAAGTAAATGTGGCTTCATGCTTTATTTCTTCTTTATATGAAATATAATTTTTTTTTAATGACGTAATTTCCTAAACTTTTCCGGAACACGGAGTCAAAATCCTGAGTTTAGGACTCAGCAGCAGGAATCCACACATGAATTCTGGATAAGAGAAATTTTCCTGCTTCAGGTCTGCTTTTGTTTTTAACTTTCCCCAGAAATCTTTGTCCATTGGGAAAAATTTCACAATAAATATTTTAACCTCCGAAGACCCCATGTTCACCTATGTCGACGCTGACCGCACTCAAATAATTTATTCTCTTCAACATTTTTTTATTATTTAAAGACACTTGATATAGATGCTAAGTTAAAAACTGTTTTTTCTTCTGCAAGTTCGCAAATTTTTTTATTTCTAGACACACACACACACACACACACACACATATACATAAATACATATAAACACACATACATATATTTTTTTTCTCTCACATTTAAAAGAGTCGACATATTAAAAAAATTTCTAATACTAATTAAAAAAATTTACACCAAATATAAATTTGGGTCCATTTGAGTGGAAAAAATCTGAAAATTTTGCAACATCTGTAAAGTTTTATTTTTATAAGAGAAACGTTTAGAGAGAATTCATACATGTTTAATTAAATACACGTTAAAAATACGAAGAATAAAAAACAAATGACGAAAGAAGATGAAGGCTAGGGGGTGTCTTATGGGGGAAGGATGAAAAGGATTTTATGGAGGGGGGGGGGGGGCAGAAAAAAGATGCGGAGAAGAAGAAGAAGAAGAGAAAGCACAGAAAGAGCAAACTAAGGAGAGAGGACAACGAGGGACACAAAGACCTACTTGTCTCAAGTCACTGAAGGCCAGAAGCAACGTGTCACCCTGGAAGCCTGCGACCGGGCTGGCTCTGGCAAAACCTGTGGGAAAATACAAACCCACCCCCCCACCCGTCCTCCCCCGGAGAGAGGGAAGAGGGGAGGAGGAGGAGGGGAAAAAAAGAGGGTGAAAAACGGAATAACAAAAGACCTGGTCGGATTCGCTTTGCATCGGGACAGATTGGCAGACAAATGACAGCTGGGTGGGGTGGGGGTGTTAGAGTCATGTGTCCACGTCGGCCCGTGAGCTTCTCGGTGAAAGGTGCCGTGCGAGGACGTGACGAAGAAGAGGTTCTGAGGCGGATGTTTGTGGGATGGATGATTCGTGTTGCGTCGGACGCTTTTGTCCCGACGGGACTTTGTTTTTACCTCCAAGAACAGCTGAGGACAGTTTTGGATTTTGAACCCGGGGGCGACGCCTTGGGGTCGTGCGGAGTGTAAGCCGGGGTCTTGGCGTCGGCCGGGCCCCGTAAACAAGCTGAGTGAGGGAACGGGAGAAAAGAGGAGTGGTGTGGAGATGGAGGACAAGTGTGTAGCTAATCTCTTTCACCTCAGGACACAAACAATCAGAAACACACCGTAGCACTCATTACACGCCTGCCATCTCCGCTGACCCTGACACACACCAACAGCTCGTGAACTTTGGAGCACCGGCTAAATTAACCTTTTATGACCTTAATACATTTTTATCCTTTTCACCCGTTTCTCCAAACTGTTCAAAGATAAAACAGGTAGTCATTGTTGCTGTTAGAAACTCCTGAGAGTCTGGATTATATCTGGATTAAATCTGGTAATGATCACAGAGAGACTGTGGTTCCAAAGGTGTTGCAGAGTCACACCTTAAACCCGAAGCATCTGCAAAGCTTAGAACAGAAAGAAAACCTTTAGGTTGACTGACCCCAATTTAATTCAAGAAAGACAGAGTGTGTTTCTGCCTGGACCGTTTAAGACGTTACACACCCTGAGCCTGATCACAATACGCTAAAGATGAGTTAGCTTGATAATAGCCTCTACTTTTGTTCTGTTAGCATGACGTTAAACCACATTTATACCGTAGAGACATGTTAACACTACTAAGGCCTGTTAGAAGGGCTGCACAATACTAAAAAAAAAACTGCGATATGCGATAACAGTGATTAATATTGCAATGACGATATTACTTGCGATAAATAAAAACGTAACTCTGGAAAAAAATGATCAAAAACACAGAAATACAAAAAACATCAAAAATGTGAAAAGCAAAAGATGTGAGGAAAAGGAAAAAGAAAATGTACAAAAAAAGGCAATCAGTGGATCCCGGGAAAAGCAGAATCAGCAGGAAGAGCAGAACAAAGCTAACTCAGGTGTTTGCTAACCATCAAAATTAAGTGTCGGAGGCGAGCATCTAACCTATGAGAACCCACCCAGTTGGCCAAATGGGTTAAGAGCTCTATCTGATTTGTTAAAAAAACATAATGCTTCTGTTTGTTTGACAGAATGCATTATGTGTGGCAAACATTTGAGCTGACCACTCATTGCGATATTTATCTGTTCTTTGCGATATGCATATTGCGCATGCTGATATTGCGATAACTATATATCGATATATTTGCGATACATTGTGCAGCCCTACCTGTTAGCATGACTTTGAACTCCATTTACACTGTAGAACTATGTTAAAATTACTAGCATATGTTAGCATCATGACAATGATGCTAATATGCGTTTCTATAAATAGCAACCCATTCATTTACTGAGGTTCTGAATAATGCTGATTATTTACATGTTATGTTGCCAATTATAATTAAGTGTGACTAATTGTGATGTAGCAGCTATGCTACATTAGGATTATTACATTATGATACCTAGCTATGCTACACTAATGCAAAATTATGCTAACTAACTAAAAATGTAATTAACCTAAATGTTTTATTTTTATAATTAGAAAAACATTAAAAATTAAATAAATGTATGTAGGCAAAAATATGTACAATGAGCTTTCAGTGTAAAAACAAACTTGATATTTTTGCCGTATCACACACATCTGCTTTCTTTCCATGTCAGTCGTTTTTAATCTTCCTTTAATACCGTTTTCTCTTAAACTCCAGCGAGAAATCCCATTGCTTCTTTCTCCTTTTCTTATGCCTTCTTTTGGTCCTCCACTTGCTCTCAGCCTTTAGAATTCGTAAATTATCTGATTATTTTAATCTCTAATCCACTCCTCATTTCCTCCTGCTTTCACATTTAGAATTAATTTCCACTGAAGACTTCCTGTCAGCCATTTATCTTTGTTCAGTTACCTGTGAACTGTTCTGCTTTTCGTTTGATTTAATTCACACCATCATTTAATCCTATTGTCCCGTAGTCCTGCGGCCTCTTTCATCTCCTCTAGCCTTTTACTTCAGACTTCTTATTTAACTCCTTTAGAGATCCTTCTGACTATCACTCTGGATTCTGATTTGATGCTTTTACATTTTCTCATCCCTGTTTATTAAGTTTTCCCACTGAAATCAGATTTGTCATTGCTTCCTCTAAACAAGAAGTCCTTGCTGTCAATAGTTTAGCCCTTTCACCTGTTTGGGATTATATGTTCATGTTTTCTATGCTCTAACCTTTTTCACATCCTTTACTCCCTCTACTTTCCCATGCCGTCTGCCTTCTACTGTATCTCCACCCAGACTTCCTCACCAGTTTGCTCCTAACAAAGCAGCTCTGCAGCCTCCTAAATCTCTCTGCACGCATGTCACTGCGCATCAAGTCACAAACCCGCAGACACGCAGTGTGACCCGCTGGCTGACTCTAAGAACCTTGATCATGTAAAAACCCGGCCTACGACGCCTCGCTCTCTTTCATGTCCCCAGTGCCTTTATCTGTAGAAGTCTGCGTCTCAAAAGTCTGTCGAAACACGGAGAGAGAGAGGGAAGGTTGGAGGAGGATGGGATGAGGAGGAGGGTAGAATGATGAAGGAAAGGTAGGGAAGAAGAGGCGGAGCAGACTGGTGGTAAATGACAAAGATGCTTATTTATCTGGCTGTTCCACAGCGCCCCCTGTGCTCTCAAATGATAACTGCAAAGACGCCGCCTCTCGATTTGTGTGTGTGCGTGTGTGTGTGTAACTGTGTGTATTTTTAAAGGCAGGAAAGGATTAGACAGGAATGCAAGTAACACTACAACCCTGTGGAGAACTTCATCTAAAATTTTACAGAAAGTTCTAGATGAATTAACAGATTGGGTTAGAGACACATTTTCCAATATTAATACGACAGAAATAAGAAATGCATTTTCATGCTCATATTAGGCCCCTTTCAGACATTATATGCAACATTAACGGCTTCATTAGATAGACATCCACATAATTACAGTAGCATTTATGCTTTTCATAATTATTCTTAAAGAACCTGTAAAGATTTCAAATGGAAACACCAGATTTCTGTTTACTGATAATTAGACCATCTTCTAAATGAAAATATTGAATTATATTGGTGTGCCAAGTCTCAGATTCAACGTTTAAAGTTAGTTTTTAATATGGAGGCCGTTTAACTATGCAGAGCCAAAATGTACCACAATAACACAAATGAACAAATATGTTCTATATTGTCCATAATTTACATAAAAAATAAAAGATTATTATATTCAGATGTGTAAAGCTTACATTTTTTTTCATTTTAAACATAAAAAGTATTTAAAAGTCTGACTTTTCAATATTTTAGTTTCTTGCATTAAAACAAGCCTCAATATGTGATTGATTGCTCTGCAGAGTAAGTCAACACCAATATATCCCAGAACAATGATTAATGCCCAGCTACACGTGTGTGTGTGTGTGTGTGTGTGTGTGTGTGTGTGTGTGTGTGTGTGTGTGTGTGTGTGTGTGTGTGTGTGTGTGTGTGTGTGTGTGTGTGTGTGTGTGTGTGTGTGTGTGTGTGTGTGTGTGTGTGTGTGTGTGTGTGTACTCCTGCAGCTCCTTCATAAAGAGAATATCCACTTCAGACCAAAGCAAACGCTATGATGAGTGTCAGCTACATCCACTGACTTTCATAGAGCTCTGAAGCACAAAACTAAAAAAAAAAACTAAACAATGAAGTAATTTTTCCATTTCATTGTCAGATGATCTTTTAACAAGTTTGACTCTTCGAACTTTGCCTTGAATCAGTTAAAGCTTTCAGAATATTTAGTTTGATATTTAATAAAAACAGTTGAATGGTCTGAATTACAAGTTACCTCAGGTATTCACAAACCAGTAACACTTTTATACAAAGTGAAGACTGAAGTGAGACGCGGACACTCACTCTCACACTCCTTGACGTCGACCTGGAGCTGGTGCAGCGCCCCGATGGAGATCTGTCGGACCTCCGGGTCAAGCAGCAACTGCATCAGGGAAGTGGAGATGTGCTTACAGGCCGACATGCAGGCAGTCTGTGCCACCTTACCCTGAAACAACACACACACACACACACACAGAGAGATGAGGCATGTCCTGGTAGAGTTGATACTCTAGATTTTAAAACCAAAACAATCAGAGTGGTAAAAAAGATCATATATTTGTTAAAAGCCAACATTTTAAAAGTTCCATGGAGTTATTTGCTGTGAAGCTTTTACACTTCAGAAGTCTGAGAAGAGAACCAAGCGACTAATAATTATTGTTAATTTTATGCTTTATTTAGTAATTATTTAATTTCTCACTCGACCAACTGGTATTTTTAGGAATTTAACAAATAATGTTGGATTACCTTAAAAAATTCAAACAAGATCAATTTGATAGAAAGTTGTCACCTATTTTCTCTGACATTATTTCACCTTTAGATTTAAACAGTGAATTGAATTGGAATTAATAGGAATAATTCAAGTAATTACATTAAGATCCAAATGATTAAATGGATAATCGGAATAATTTAAAACATTCAATTATGCATAATCTTATTTTCACTTCTTCCAATTGAAAACTATTGCGGTGAATTGGAATTTTAAATGACTTGAACTGGGACCTGAAATCCGTTACGGCCCAACTTTTGGTGACCTGTGTGTGTGTGTGTGTCTGTGTGTGTGTGTGTGTGTGTGAGTGCGCGTGTGTGTGTGTGTGTGTGTGTGTGTGTTCGTGTGTGTTCATATCACATTGATCAGTACCATTGGTTGTGACTTACAATACATATTTTTTACGTTGAAACGCTTCTAAAAGACTTTAGAGACTTCTTCAAATTTAGCTAAACACATTGTAGAGTAAGAGGATTTGCTTTTGTTCACCTTGATGGTTTTTTTTTTACTGAATTGGTTTGAAAACAACAAGCTTGAACTGGATGTTTTGGGAATTGAATTGGAATGCCAAAAATTTGATTAAATTGGATTTATGGGAATCAGTTAAATTCAGGAAAGAATATTCAGTAGGAACATTTGCAGACTGATTAGGATTTTATTTTACTGAATAATAGCCAGTGTTGGGAGTAACGCGGTACAAAAGTAGTTAGTTACTGTAATGCTTTGATTTTTGCTGTAATGTGGTAATGTAAGGCATTACAGGGAAAGAAAATCATAATATTTACTCAGTTCAAGTGTCAGTAACGCGGTAATTACAATGCATTTTAAACCCAGAATCAAGATGTGGGTTTCCTAAAAATTCAAATTGCGGGAAGCCTGAAAAAAGATCCAGTATCCACATATATGACGTCATTTATGGACTCAGCTTTGCAGGCATTCTATGAGCAGAGAGGACGCAGCAGTGATGGCTCAAACACTCCAGCTGCGTCCTGCGCACGGCCGCTGTTATATTCACAAAATCGCTCCACCAAAACAAAGTAATTCGTTTGCGATCGTTTATATCAGCCCATATTCTCTGGTACTTCATGTACTTTTCAGCTGAGTTCATAATCTGTGCCCCGGTGATTTCAACTCATTGCTGCTGGAGCGCAGCGCATATTAAGCTTTGTTTTGCGTTCGGTAGATCCCTTTGGTAGCCTGGCAAGCCAGACTAAATAAATGTATTATTTAAACTTTGCAAAGCAAGAATTTGGTCTAGTTCACTAGGCTATCCCTTTGGCTGATTAGTTAGAAAGTAGGAAATCTAGGAAACAGTTTTTCTGGAAGACGGAGAAAACAGGCAGCATACAGGAAGGTTAGAGAGAGAAAGGGCAGGAAATTATTCAAATAAAATCAAGAAAACAAAACAAAGGTCTTGAAAAGAAAAAAAGTAGGTAGATTTATTCCCAATACACATTTTTACCAGTGAAAAGCAATAATATATAAGCATTTAATATTTATACATGCGATAGAATCAGATCACCCCAGAAGTCAGTCCCACATCCAGGGCCGTATCAAGGCATTTGGGGACCAAGGCTTGGAGCCCCCACCACCTCACTCCCTGCTCAGTTAATATAAGATGGCAGCGTGCTGAGAGTACAGATTGTTGTTGCTTTTATTTAGTAAACAATCATTTTAAAGCACTGTTATTATATCTGACTGATTTTAACAGCAACCCTAGCTCAGACACCACATCACCTTCCACATATATGTCATGAGCTCACTGAGCGTCAGATTACCAGATTCATATGGATGATGTTTTGGTGAAAGTAACTTAAAGTAATGCAAAAGTAGTGTGATACCATACATTTTAAAATCAGTAATATGGTAATGTAATGAATTACTTTTAAATGAGGGTAACAAGTAATAAATAATGCATTACAGTTTTGAAGTAATGTGCCCAAAATTGATAATAATCCGGTTTAAACAAGATTTATGACTGAATAAATTGGCCTGAATTGCAGATTTTTTTATTTCGAATCTGATAGCCTATATTAAAATGAATCCAATGTAATAGATTAGAATACAACTTCTTCACTTATTTTAAAAACTAAAAATGTTTGTAGTGAATTTGTATGTTAGTTTTATTTTTATATAAAGGACTTGAAAATTAGGGCAAAACAACATTTACTTCATTGAAATTGAGTTAATTTAAATACTGTAAGTGATTTTTGGTTTTCGATTTGGGTTTGTTTTCCATTTTTTCTAAAATTGTAAAATTTATACAGCAATGATTCTAACATCACCAAAAAGTTGCACACGTGTAAATTCAACCAAATATGAAATAATGAATTTAGTATCAGAATGCAAAAAGAAAACATTAATAAAACATCCTGCATTTAGTCAGAATGATGAAGCACGATGACAAGAATAACATCAGTGAATGAGGAAGTACCGACGTTACATTAATACAGAAAACCAAACATGTGCTGGTGTCTGAGCAGAGACGAGTGTGTCATCTCAGCGATTAGCCACGGCCCCCATCGTGACCTTTGTGTCTGCGTTCAAACACCATGAAAAAAGAAGATCAAAGACAAAAGAACAGAGGTTCTATTAAAAACTGGGAGCAGAAAATTTAAAGGAAAAGGGTCTCTGCAACAAGATAAACTGTTTTATTTTCTTGTATTCATTAAAAAACGATTTCCATTACAATTCATTTCCTTTGTTGACAAATACAGATTTGACAAGATGTGCTGAGAGCAAAAAATAACCTCCAACAATCACAGGAGCGAGGAGAGAAAAGCCTCATTACACAAATGAATCCTGACGAGACTTTGATTTGTCTGGCTGGCAGACACACACACACACAAACACACACACACATCCAGGTGATTAATGCAACACAAAGATCAGGCCTCTCATTCCAGCTGTGTGCGTTTAATTGCTTTCATTAATCACACTTACACACACCCACACACACAAAGTATCTTAGAAAGAGAACTACAAAAAATTATTTTTTCTTATAAATGTATCCTACCCCTGCTAAGGGACATTACCTTAGACTTCTTATTCCAGTACTTTGTGTAGTCATGGGTGGGAGACACATTAAAACTGTAGGAAGACAATTATTAAGGGCTTCCATTACCCACTGCTATGTACTGCAAACTAGGGATGACCCGACCCGATCATGTGATCGGAAATCAGGTCCAATCACATGATTTTCAGGAAATCAGAATCAGTGGGGAAAATCTGATTTAACCAAATAAAACAACAAACATTACTTTTTAAATTCATCCCGAGAGAGATTTTCGAACTGAATAATAATGGCTTACTTTTACATTCAACAAGTTCCTCTACATCAGTATTCTTTGTTTCACAGACAACAACATCGTAAAGTCCCACAATTTAAGGTAGTTTGGGGATTCATGCACCATAACATGTAGCAGTTAGCTAACAAGGAGCATAGTTGTCACCTCAAGAGAGGGAAAATGTCTGTAATCTGGATGTGTTTTTAAATGAACAGCAAAAGGGAGTGTAATAAACACGTTATGTGTGCAAACTGGGCATTTAAAGAGGTGGAAAAGGATAATGCTGCATTCAACACTGATGCGCCACCTTAAAAAACTGACCCTGCCAAGTTTGCTGCAGCAATTCAGCAAACCCAGCCGCCACCAAAAGATACATTTAAGAAACAAATAAATATTCTACGGACAGCCAAAATGCCAACATAGCAGCGTATTTACGGCACTAGATGAGCGTCTGTGTTTGCAAACGTCGGGTTCTGCAGTCTCCTATGATCTGCTTTCTCTTCCTACCTTTACAAACACAGCAACTGCCAGACTCCTCCTCCATTTAATTCTACACAGAGAACTAGTCTGGTTACTCACAGGCATAGAGGCACATGAGGGGTGGGACTAGCCAGCTCAAAAAAAAACAATCAGAAAAAAGGCAGAAATGCCGACTGTACCGCGCGACGCTGTAGTTTGTTAGCTGTAGTCAAAAATGGCGTCTGGCGACGGTGCAAACATCTTACTTTAGAAATTTAGGCTTTTAGCGATTCTACTTGTTGTGGTTTTAAAGACATGTCCACGTCATTTAGAACCAAGGAAAGAGCCGCAGGAAACTCTAATTCAGACGGTGCCGCAGTGTGTGGCGTACGTTACTCAGCACTGATTGGCTCGGTTAGAATTCTCAGGGGGTGGGGTTATTTTAATAGGAGAGTTCCCGGCTGGGAGCCTTGGGTCGTTTATAAGTGGTCAGACCGTAGCTGTAATGCGGCACAATCGAATCATTTTCACAAAAGATTACACAACGGCAACATAAAGGGGTATGGGGGCATTCTACCCTTTTCCGATTCAAGACCATAGTCTCGGATTTAGAGGAGCTGATTCTCATGCCAGCTGCTTCACACTCAGCTGCAAACCGCTCCATTGACAGCTGGAAAGTTGTCTCATGAAGCCAACAGGGCCGCATCATCCGCAAAAAGCAAAGACCCGATCCTTAGGCCACCAAAACAGATCCTATCATTACCTGCGCCTAGAAATCCTGTCTATAAAAGTTATAAACAGAATCGCGATAAAGGGATGCCTTGGCGGCGTCCAACTCTCACTCGAAACAAGCTCGACTTACTGCTAGTAATACAGACTCTGACACTGCCCATACAGGGACCTAACAGCCCGTATCAAAGGGCCTGGTTCTTC